GTTGCCATAGCAGCCCGATACTCTATAGCAAGGAGATGGAAATCTTTGTACCCCCCACAAATCCAAGACATTTTTCAAACCCTAACTGACCATTTTCTGGACCCCCTTGATTAAAGATAGTAGAAGTGTTTCTCTCAAATGATATACTCCATATCTCCACACTGGTCTCCTGGACCCTTCACACCCATACCTTCCAAACCCCACTACCCTGCTGCACATCGCTTACAATGCTCTGGAGGCATATTAATGCTCTAGAGGCATGATTTGCATTTAAAAGTGCATATGACCTCAGCAATTTGGGTTTCATAAATTCTGATAAGGAGCTGGAGCATCAGTGTTGGTGTTGGATCAAAGAGGATGTCATGCTTCACATAGTGTATTCCATGTTGATGTTTTGTTAGTATGGTCAGTTACATCACATATGGACTGATTTTTTTAGATTAATTGCTCACTTTGATGTTGTTAGTTTTTTTTTTCGATGAAGCTGTGATTTATACTCATCAGGTTTTACATATATTTACATTGCTGTTGAATAGATTTCCCCTTGCTTCTTCCATTTTTAATGGAAGTCCAAAGAAAGCAGTAATGTTTTACACTTCCACATTCTACAAGCAAATTTTATCCTTTGCTGTCTGTGTTCCAATTGGGGAGATTTTGTCTCACTTTCTGTCTAACCCATCAAACAAAAAGGAAAAGAGAAAAAAAAAATCTTCTTTCCCAAAACATGGTATAGCTATAAAAGGTTAAAAGTTGTTCTAATCTTTCTCCAAAAAATAAAAATATGTTTTGGCTAGATTTTGGTTTTACGGGGCTCTCTTGTCCATATTTATGGTCTAAAGTCTATTTATGGGCAGCACAGTAGCTAAATGATTAGCACTTCCACCTGGCAGTACTGGGGTCGTTGGTTCGAATCTCCAGCCATGGCACCACCTGCCTGGAGATTGCATGTTCTCCCTGTGACTGCGTGGGTTTCCTCCAGGTACTCTGGTTTCCTCCCACACTCCAAAGACATGCTGGTAGGTTAATTGGATCCTGTCTACATTGTCCCTAGTATGTGTATGTATGAATGTGAGTTAGAGACCTTAGATTGTACACCCCTTGAGGGTTAGGGACTGATGTGAATACACTATACAATATATATGTAAAGTGCTGTGTAAATTGACGGCACTATATAAGTACCTGAAATAAATAAAAATAAATAAATAAAAGTCTTGTTCAGTAGGTCATTTTTCTTCTATTCTAGAAATATAAAACAAAGATCACGTGAAGCCTTCTAAGTGTTGTAGTTTTATGCCCAGGAAAATCGATCATGTATGGATGTCACCTAACTTTGTTGCATTTGGTGTGTTGATCAAATGGTTAGCAGGTGTATAGGGTTTTGAAAGGAGGGTTTACCCAACTTTTCCTTTAAACGAAGATTGCTCTTCCTTGTTATGACACACTTTGTTAACTTTGTTGGAAAGCTATCAGTTCTTTCCTTTGTGAACTAAAACCTTTGCTTGGCTTTCTGCTCTCTCTTAGTATGACCCTTTGAAAATTCCATTCACTGTTCTATGTATAACTGATGATGCATAGATTGCATGGTCTGTAGACTTATTTATTGGTTTCTACTACCTCTGTATACCTCACAGGTGCACTCCTGCCCACCATTCAACCCTAAAGATGCACTTTAGTCTTACCTTCTGTAAGAAAACCTCAGTACATGTTGGAAGAAGAAGGCTGACACATGCTCATACTTATGTGCATGCTCATAATTCTGAGCAAAAGCTCAATACAAAACAGACATTGTCACGCTCGCCCAAACGTATTAGTTGCACACACACATGTATGAGCACTGGTGCCAAACAGTCTATTTAAGCTGCACTCTGACATGGATGAATTGATGAGTGGTCTTTAGCCAGTTCCTGCTTTACCTGAGCCTTGACCTGTTATACCTGCTTACCTGTGCACAACTCGGCTTGCCCTGACCTATCCTTGGATTTCTACCTGCCTACTATGACCTTAGCTTGTATTCTGACTCTGCTCCTGTCTTGTGTTCCTGCACTTCACTGCATGGCTCCTGATGACCTTTTGGGTTGTGTCCTGGCTACACTCCTGTCTGCCAAGCAAGTGTTACCATGTTCCAGTTCCTGGTTCCTGCCTGGTGATCTGCAGACATCTTTTTCCTGCAAACCACAGCTGGCGCTACCTGCAAGACCATCTCTCGGGCCACTCTTCAGCTCGATCTCCAACAGGTACTTGACACCTTCATTCTTGCAGCTGTTCAGGATCCATTTCCTGCGCTGAAATTCCTTACTCTGATTTTACTGTACACTGTGAGTCTCTTCATTTCCAGGCTGGATGATGTTCGATTTAATCTACCTCTTTCCTCCTGTTAACCAAAATCTATGCATTATGAGATTTAATATTTCTCTAATATTGGTAGATGAGAGTTCTTGACCATAAGTAAAATCTTCAACAAAACAACAGAAATGTATTGGTTATTTGTTAGTTACAACAAAGAAAGATTTTTAAGAGAGCTCTAACATGCTACTAAATAGAGACAGTAAGAAAGACAAGACATAAGACAAATATTTATATACAGTAAGTGCCAGGGATATATTCCACAATTACTATTGAACTGTGCATGAGGGTCCCTGTGATAAACCGTCCCTTTGTGATAACATTTTGCCCTTTCTGTTTCAGTTTTCTCCCCTTGGTAAAGCTGTATATATTTAGCAGCTGGTATGTAGACAGGCATTTTACACTGTTTGCTTAGGGAAATGTGACCTTGTAGTCTTTCATTTCTATAGAGTTCATACTGTATTGTTGGGTTGTAGGGTTTTTGTTGTCGGTGGGGAAAAACCGGTGCCAGGCTGTCTGGTGGGTGTGAAGCTGTACATACTGAGCTGTGTTTAATAACAATTGAGTCATTTTCACCCTACACGAAGTTCCGACTCATGGTTTGGGATATCAGGGAAGGATTGGTTTTGAGCTCTAATACCTGCCTTGGCAGAGCACTGGAAGACTTGCAAGACAAGGGGACCATTGGCTGAGACTCATCACTCTGCACGAGGAAGCCCAGGCAGAACGGTTCCGCCACAGTCCCATTCTGGTATCTGGAGGCCCAAAGACTTTTCCCTACTTCCCCCAATCTCTCAAGTGTCTGAACTGAAACAGGTCTCTCTTACATTGGCTTGCATAAGGCAGTTCTGATTGGTGGGCCTATCTATTCCATCTATTCAAATCTAACTCATCCTTTTTAGGATTGGCTAATTCCCAATTCCCTATTTTCAGCACGAGTCAGTCCCCTTTAATTAAAAATCCTTAGCACAACCATTACTTATTCATGAAAGGATGGCCACCAGCATTGAACATTTAAACAGCGGAATGCTTTGAAGTGGATATATATAAAACAAAAGAGGTTTTGTTCCCATTGTTCAGATAAGCAAACTAAAACACTGAACCATCTGTGAAAAGTCTTCTCACATACAATACAAATTAATAGACTATTTCCCCTGGCAAACAATTACCCTCCATCTTCAGAAAATAGACATATCACACAACCACATTGGTAAAAATCCACCTACAATATATTCATAATTACAATATTGTTTACATATGTTAGTTGAGATTTCACATAAGGCATCATCCAGTATCACTCCCTGGCCTGACTATTCCTGACCAGGGGCGGGCTGATAACTCATAGGGCCCCCGGGCAATAGGGGATCATGGGGCCCCTGTGTCCTTGCCCAAATTTATATTAAGATGAAATGAGGCAAAGAATAACTAAGATGGGTTGTAAATCTCCTTTGTGTTAGATAATGAGTTTATGTGAAATCTCCATTAAGTACTGTGAATAATATTGTAAGGGGGTTGGTGTATGCTAAATACAGGAGATTTGAAGTTTGACAGTTTTGAAAGAGAATAGATTTGCCAACCAATCAGAGCTACTCCATGAAAACGAATGGAGGAGAGGCCTATAACAATACACACTAGATGGAGAGACAGGATCTCTTTAGAACACCAGTTAGGAGAATGGAGCCCTTACATACAGTTCCATGGCAGGGGCGGACTGACAACTCATGGGGCCCCCAGGCAATAGGGGATCATGGGGCCCCTGTGTCCTTGCACAAACTCAAAAAAGCCTATGAAAAAGGTACCAGGGGCATCTCATGGGGCCCCCTACTGACCCCGGGCCCTTGGGCAGTGCCTCAGTTTCCAAATGGTCAGTCCGCCCCTGTTCCTGACCTGCCATTTTAGTAATTGGGTTTCAGATGGCATTACATGTGGGTGTTAACTAGAGTGGTCTGAATATAAATGCAATGCCCCTAGGAATACCCACCCATCAAAACATTTTGATATTGATAACTCTTCCCAAGGACCAGCCTGCTGCTTGCACCAAGGCTAAGGCCCCATACACACAATGTGAATATTGGAAGAATGATTGTCTGTTTTTTTTTTGCATGCTAGTCTCATATCAAGAGTGAAGAGGTTACTAAAGTCAAGAAAATTCCTATATGACAGAATACTTATTTGAAAGTGACTTCATTTATTGTATTTGTGTTGTATTTTCAGACGAAAACTGTACTGATTAATTGAAATTCATATGATCGGGTATTGTACGAGTAAAATTTTTGTGCTTGTCTCTTCAAATAATTTCGGACAAAAGCTGTGTACTATCAATCAGATTATCGTACGATCAGTTGTGTTTTTCGTACATATTCTGATCATGGGTACTAGGCTTTAGAGCACTTGAAAAGATTTCTTTGGGTGCTATGATGTTTTTAGGATGCTGGACATTCTCACCATCCATGAGCTGCCTGTCATAAAGAACCACCGAGACCCAGTGATGAGTCTAAAAAAGGTAAATAATAAAAATAGAATATATTTTTTCTTCAAGATTATTATGTTAATAAAGGTTGGGAAGAACAAGGGAAGGCAAAAAAAAAAGTAAATTGGGCTTCAGCTATAAACTGACCTAGAACAAAAAGCATGGGCCATAAATCAATCCCAAGTTTTCATATAACAAGCATTTTTCTAATATGTTTCTTCCAGGCTTCCTTAATGTCATGGTTTCGTAGGCTGTAGATAATGGGGTTCAGCAGAGGGACCACCATAGTATAAGACAATGACAGGATCTTACCAGTGTTTAGTGTTTGTTCTCTGCTTGGGAGAACATAAATGCCAATTAGAGTTCCAAAACACATGATCACCACACTCAGGTGAGAACTACAGGTGGAGAAGGCCTTCCGCCTACCAGCCATAGACTGGATCTTCAGTATGGCAAGAATAATATAGGTATATGATATCACAATCATTATAAATGGCACAACTGCAACTGGAGTACTTAGTAAAGAAACTTCTAACTGAAGAAAATATGTATCCGAGCAAGAAATTTTCATCAATGGATCCAGGTCACAAAAGAAATGGTCAATAATATTTGATTTGCAGAAATCTAACATAGATAATGATAAAGTATCAATCAGAATTATTGAAAAGCTTAACATCCAAGACACAATAACCAGTTTCAAACAAAGCCATCTATTCATTAAAACAGAATAATGCAATGGTTTACAGATGGCCAAGTATCGATCATAGGACATCACTGTCAGAAGAAGACACTCTGAGGTTTCTGATGCACCAAAAAAATAAAACTGGGCCATGCAGCCAAAAAATGAAATTGTTCCACCATCATTTAATGAAACATTGATTGTGTTCGGAACAATGGCTGATGTCAGTAGAATGTCATTTGTAGCCAACTGTGTAAGGAAGAAGTACATGGGGAGACTGCAGGGATTTGGTATAAAACACTAATAGGATGATGACGAGGTTCCCAAAAATTGTCATAAAGTAAACCACAAGAAGAATAAATGTAATTAGAATGTTTAGATCTTTACTGTTCTGGAATCCCAAGAGAAAAAAATTCTGCAAATATAGTTTTGTTGATTCCCTATTTAAATGGAAATGTATTAAAAAAATATATTGGAAAAAAGAACTGGCCAAACTATTGTAATCAAATATTTATTGTCCATTTCCTCTATGCCATATTATATCTATAACCCCCCCCCATGTCTTAATTGATTGTTTTTTGTATACTAATGACATCTTATTTATGCCATCAAACTTCTTACATTTTGTACATTAATACAACAGGCTATACCCCGGAGCCAACTTTTCCGCCCTTTTGTACTTATTGTGCAGCTCTCAGAGTTTTTGCAAACAATAGTTATCATTTGCCTTACCTAGGTCCTAGTGAAAGAAAAATATTCATTAGATTGGATTTCAGTATTTAAAGTGTAACTCCACCTTTGTTAAGAAGAAAATCATTTTCTACATTGCAAGACTTTTTAGTCTGACCATAGATGGATTGAATCTTGGCCAGTTCAGCAGAGACTGGCCGAGATTCAATTAATCTATGGGCAGGGTGGTTGTGCCTAAGTTGATCCATCGATTGACTTCAGTACAATCAGCCTGTTTGATTTTCTTCATGTAACCACTGCTGACGGCTATTGCTGCTAGCTTGGAACATTATGTTCTGCCATCAGAGAAAGCTCCCCGCTAGCAAACACAATAGGGTTGTGGGACGGATTCCTCCCTGATGGGGGGATTGAGCAATTTTCTTTCTTTCTGCCCATGAAAGAAAGACATTTGCATAATCTATGGATTGCCTAACAAATTTTGTTGTAGATACCTACCATTTTCGGTTCTGAAGTATTTGCTCTTTGTTTAACCACCACCCTTTCCAGACTTCTTCCTTAATGAGATGGTCTGTGTTCATTATAATACCCTAAACAAATACCCAATGTTCTAAGGAGGTAAGCTGTAATATCCTTTCATAGACAATCCTTAGAGAGTATCTCACCAATAATTAAATTCTTATTGCAGGTGATGCCAAAATAGTACTTGTATGTTAGTTTGAAAGAAATTTCTGCTTTGTATATAGATGTTTTGTCTTTGTCAAATGTCCTTGGTATCATATTAACTCTTTTTACTATGTACTCACATTGCTAAGACTCTGATAAGAAACATGCCTGCCTCTGTACTGCCTACAATTATTATTATTATTATACAGCATTTATAAAGCGCCGATAGTTCGCTCAGCGCTGTACATTGCAAAGGGGGACAGAACATGTGACAGAACAAGAACAATACAATGCAAAACATGAGGGGATCGAGGGCCCTACTCTTTCGAGCTTACAATCTAGGAGGGAGGGGATGGTGGCACAGGAGGAGAAAGCTGTGGGGGATGGAGTGGTAGGAAGAGTAGAGGAGGTCGGCAAGTTAGCAGGGTGTGGGGTAGGCTTCCCTGAAGAGGTGGGTTTTCAGTGTGCGCCTAAAGGAGAGGAGAGTAGGTGGTAATCTGATGGGTTGGGGCAGGGAGTTCCAGAGGATGGGTGACACCCTGGAGAAGTCCTGGAGGCGGGCATGGGAGGAGGAGACCAGGGAACTAGAGAGAAGGAGGTCTTGTGAGGAGCGGAGTGTGCGTGTTGGGTGGTACTTGGATATTAGGTCGGTGATGTAGTTCGGGGCAGTATGGTGGACAGCTTTGTACGTCAATGTTAGGATTTTGAATTTGATCCGTTGCGCAATCGGAAGCCAGTGGAGGGATTGGCAGAGGGGGGTGGAGGACACTGAGTGGAGGCCAGTGGAGGGATTGGCAGAGGGGGGTGAAGGACACTGATTGGAGGCCAGTGGAGGGATTGGCAGAGGGGGGTGGCGGAAACGGAGCGGTTGGAAAGGTGAATGAGTCTGGCAGCCGTATTCAGGATGGACTGAAGCGGGGATAGCCAGCGGCAAGGCAGTCCAGTGAGGAGGGAGTTGCAGTAGTCGAGTCGTGATATGATGAGGGAGTGGATGAGCTGTTTAGTTGTTTCTGGGGTTAGGAACGTGAGGATTTTGGTGACGTTGCGGAGGTGGAGTCTGCATGAGTTTGTTAAAGATTGGACTTGGGGCTGGAAGGATAGGTTGGAGTCCAGAATGACACCAAGTACTTTGGCCTGCGGGGTGGGTTTGATGGTGGCATTGTTGGACATGATGGAGAAGTCAATGGGGGTGGTGTCCGGGCTGGGGGGAAGACAAGAAACTCGGTTTTGGAGAGGTTCAGTTTAAGGAAGTGGAGCAACATCCAGTCTGATATGTAGCTCAGTAAGTTTGTGATTCGGGCGGAGACTGAGGGGGTGAGGTGGGGGGTTGAGAGATAGATTTGTGTGTCGTCGGCATAGAGGTGGTAGTTGAAGCCGTGAGAGTGTATGAGTTGGCCAAGGGAGGAGGTGCAGATGGAGAAGAGAAGGGGCCCGAGGACAGAGCCTTGAGGGACCCCAACAGAGAGGGGGAGTGAGGGGGAGGTGGTAGCATTATAGGTAACACTGAAAGAGCATTGTGACAGGTAGGATGAGAGCCAGGAGAGAGCAGAATCTCTGAGGCCGAGGGAGTGTAGTTTTTTGAGGAGGAGGGGGGTGGTCGACTGTGTCGAAGGCCGCGGAGAGGTCAAGGAGTAGGAGCACTGAATAGTGGCCATTAGCTTTGGCGGTTAGCAGGTCGTTGGAGAGTTTGAGTAAGGCAGTTTCGGTGGAGTGTAGGGGACGGAAGCCGGACTGTAGGGGATAATGTGATACCTACGTAAGCTTGGTTGTAAAAAAAAAACAGGAAAAATATTTGTGGGGAGGTTTGAGCAGTATTTTGATATGTTGGGTGGTTTCCTGATTGAAACCATGAATGATGAGCATTTTTTTGTATAATTACCCACTGCAACCTCTTGGTACAAGTGTATTGTATCACAATATCCAATTATCATCGGTTTTGATACTGTCTGATATGTGTAAACCTTTCATAATAAAACTAGATTCTTTTTTGTAAATATAGTTGATTTGTGTGTTTTGGCACCATAAAAACTCAGAAATTCTTGATGGGGATATGAAGGGGTTCTGTACCAGTGAGAATAAAGCTTGTAATTATGTTCCTGAGTGGAGACATTCTGAGAACCATTATGAATTGCAAGGTGTATGGTTTACCACTCCTGAGGAGGCAGAGAGATATTCAGGTCTTTTTGGCTGTGCATAGTCTTTCAAAGTGAGATAAAGGTCTTCTAAATGCCATTTTCAATTTTGGGTAATTTAGGCAATGTCTGATCTGAAAGTACGGCCACATGGGAATGAAAGGTTGCCATGTGAAGAGCTGGCAGGAAGCAAAAAAAAGAAATCCCAGTAAGGAATTAATGGGCATGGGGAGGAGAATAAGGATTTACAAAAGTCAGGATTGTTCAGGAGTGGGGCTAAGGGGTTTTGGTTGCAAGGCTAGTTGCTGAAGATGACAGGGCAATTATTAAAATACTGCAGAAAACATGGCAGAAAGAAACTGGACAGAAGTGGGGATGAGCTTTGGGTTCATGTTGAGCACATTTGACCTGAACCCCACCTTGTTAGCAAATATTTAGATTTTGGCCAGTTTGGGCCCTACCGTCTCTAAATGACAGATTTCTGCCAGTTTATGTAAACAAGCTGTGACGGAGGAAAGGCAGGACAGAACACACAGAGAGGATGACAGATGCACAAAGCTTTATTGAGACAAACAGATGGCAGTCCTTCAATACGGGGGTGGCAGAGAGGGTGGATTTGCCACTCAATGGTAACGAGGGTCCCCACCCACTTATAGTCCACTAGGAGAGCCAAGGGGGTGTCCCTGTAACAGGGGTAGTCCGACACAGGAGAGGGGTGCGAGGAGTCACCACCGTAACAGTTCAGGTAGCAGTGAGGAAGCAGGTACTCACAGAGAACAAGGGGTTCAGTCCAGGCTGGGGATAGATCCAGGCAGATTCACGGGGACAGCAGAAGATTCCTCCACAGTGCAGGGATTGCAGGCAACACAGACAGTCCAGGAGATGAGGAGGAGGACGGGGGATGAGAGGAGCTGGCGCTCAGCACAGCCGTCCCTCACACACCCAGCCAGGAGAACACACAGGGGGGTTTCCTTGCTCTCTCTTAAGTATTGAGCTGGTAACCTGATACTTCCTGTCGGGTTACCATGGCAATGGGTCCTGTTCAGAGAGTTCAGGAATTTGGCATGAGGGGGAAGGGAGGAGGGGTCCAGAGTAATTTAATTAGACCATTAGGCCAGTGACACAGGGGACAATTGGAACAATACAGAGCAGGACGCTGAGGGCATGTGATACAAGGCATTAATAAGGGGATTAATAATTGGCAGGCTCCCATACCGTGACACAAGCCATTGAGGAGTCCAGGTGATGTCATTGACTAAGCATGACCATATTTTGTCTATGCCATCACTAGGTTCCCCAGAGCTGTTTAATTTCCAGCAACGTAAATCATATCATCCAACATCATCAAGCCATTTATGATGAGAAATTCTTGGGAATATTGACCTGCTGAAAAAATGACCCACTACAATGAAGATGCCACTCTCGTTCAGTGGAAGCAGTCATTTGCTACTCCCAGCATGAATTATTATGATACAGTATTTATAAAGTGCCAATGGTTTGCTCAGCGCTGTACATTACAAAGGAGGACATAACATGTGACAGAACAATACCAATACAATGCAAAACATGAGGGGATCGAGGGCCCTGCTCTTTCGAGCTTACAATCTAGGAGGGAGGGGATGGTGGCACAGGAGGAGATAGCTGTGGGGGATGGAGTGGTAGGAAGAGTGGAGGAGGTTGGCAAGTCAGCAGGGGGTGGGGTAGGCTTCCCCGAAGAGGTGGGTTTTCAGGGTGCACCTAAAGGAGAGGAGAGTAGGTGATAATCTGATGGGTTGGCGCAGGGAGTTCCAGAGGATGGGTGACACCCTGGAGAAGTCCTGGAGGCGGGCATGGGAGGAGGAGACCAGGGAACTAGAGAGAAGGAGGTCTTGTGAGGAGCGGAGTGTGCGTGTTGGGCGGTACTTGGATATTAGGTCAGTGATGTAGTTCGGGGCAGTATGGTGGACGGCTTTGTACGTCAGTGTTAGGATTTTGAATTTGATCCGTTGCGCAATCGGAAGCCAGTGGAGGGATTGGCAGAGGGGGGTGGCGGAGATGGAGCGGTTGGAAAGGTGAATGAGTCTGGCAGCCTTGGTGGCAAGGGTTTTGAGAGGTGTCATTGAGTAAATATGGGGAGAGCAAGAAACTGTCAACACAGCACACCATGAATCTCTAGAACAGACCCAAAGCTTTGTTCAGCAATCACATCGTTACAGCAAATAACAACATTATAGAGCCTCACAGGACTCCTTCTTCAGGCTTATCACATGCCTGATGAAGGGGTCCTGTGAGGCTTCAAAACTTTGAACTATGTTCTGGTTTAAGTGTTTTTTTCTGGGTTCACAAAACATCGTGCTAACCATATTTTGCCCAGTTCCCTCATCACGTGTTAGAACAAGTCCATTTTTAATCAAGGATAATAGACCTAACTGGTGCATGCCTTTTTTATTGTAGTGTTTGGTAGTTTGGTGAATGTGAGTGAAGAAACATGAGGTGGTTTTGGTGTACACTTTTACATTTTTTTTTTTGTACAACTGCTTCAGCCCTGGAAAGTTTTACCCCCTCCTGACCAGGCCATTTTTTGTCATACCGCACTGCACTACTTTAACTGTTAATTGTGCGGTCATGCAACACTGTACCCAAATTACATTTATATAATTTTTTTTCACACAAATACAGCTTTCTTTTGTTGGTAATAAAAAAAAGTTTTTATTTTTATTTTTTATGATATAAATGAAAAAAGACCACAAATTTTGAAAAAAAAAAATTCACTTTCTGCTATAAAACATATACAATAACAAAATTAGAAAAAAAATTGAATTTCTTTATAAATGTAGGCCAAAATGTATTCTGCTGTGACAAAAAAAATCCCGGCATATTGATTGGTTTGCTTGAAAGTTGTAACGCCTACAAACTATGGTATATATATTGGATTTTTTTTTATCATACTAATGGCAGTGATCAGTGACTTATAATGAGACTGCAGGAGTACGGAGGGCAATCTGACTCTAAACGACACTGATTATTGCAACTGACATCACCAGTGACATTAATACAGTGATCAGTGATAATACAGTGATAATATTATGCACTGTCACTGAACTATTGACACTGGCTGGGAAGGGGTTAAATGTGTGCCTATCTATGTGTAATATGTGTAAAGTGTACTGCTTTTACTAATAGAGCTCTACGTTTCTGTTTTGCAGGGATAAGAAACTAAAAGATCGCTCTCTCTGTACAGAGCTGTGTGTTATTTACCAACACAGAGCTCTGGGCTGTGATTGTACGCAGCTGATCGGCAGGTCCCAGCCATGAATCATTGGCCAAGATTTGATGACAGGCTCCATCTGTGTACAATCACAGCAGAGCTGGCAATGGAGTGTGAGTGCACGTGCCCGAAACCTAGAAGTAGACAGCAGGACCCAAAGCACACATCAAAAAGCCCCCAGAAAAGATTTCACACAAAGCGCTGGAGAGGACTGAACTGGCCAGCAATGAATCCAGATCTCAATCCCATAGAGATCCTGTGGAGAGATCTCAAAACACCAGTTGGGTAAAGGAACCCTTCAAATCTGAGACAACTGGAGAAGTTGGAGAAAAAAAAGAGTGGTCCAAAATTCCATTAGAGAGGTGGAAGAAATGTATTGATGATTACAGGAAGCCATTGATTTTAGTTATTTTTTTCAACGGGTGTGATATCAAATATTAAATTGAGGGTGCCAATAATTGTGTCCGCTCCATTTTTGGAATGTGTCAGATTTGGCTTTTTTGTTTCTCCACTTGTCATACAACACAAAAAAACAAAAAATAAACATGAGAATACCTAAACATTTATAATTGCAACAATTTTCTGGGCAAAGTGGTGCATTATCTGACAGAAGTGCCAGTATTGTATACCATGACTGTATAGATCTTCAGTCTTTGAGCATCTCCTGTTACATGTCTGAGTCTATGATAGGCATCTTTAGCATTACATATAATGAATATTATGACTGTGAGTGACCACACTTGGGGCCCTCTATATCAAGTAAGTTGATTACCACTGCACTATACAAATACATATTTTCAAAAAAAAATATTACATACTGGAGGCCCCTAAATATTTTTGGTCACAAAACCTGCATTTTTAATTATATTGATTATTTATCTATTTTGTAAAGATATTTTCTATTTTATGAAATTAGAATTTCACTTCTATGACCTGATAGTATTATCTAACATATTTACATATACATATCCTCCAGCCCCTACATCTTTAACCACTTCCCGTCCAGACCATGTATAAAACGGCAAGACGGTGGCAGTGCAGGGTCGGGTGGCCGTTTATAAACGACCTCCCCGCACCCTACTTGTGCGCGCTCCCTGGGAGCATGCAGCACCGCGATCCACAGTGGAACACCGATCGTTGTATGGGACCTCTGTGCGAGGTCCCGATCATGTGATCACTGATTGGCCAATCAGTGGTCACATGCAGAGTAGTAAGCAAGATGTCACTTCTGACATCATTGCTTACTACGTGTGAAATCTGTGAATGATCACAGAGGTCACATGGTACAGGGCTATTCACAACAGCCTTGTACTATGTGACAAGCTGTGACCAATCACAGCTCACACAGTATTTCTCAATGGCTGCAAGAATGCAGACAGAGAGAAGGAGAAATGATTGCTTTTTACAGCCTTTATGGGTGTAAAAGCAATCAGTGTAAAAAAAAAAATTCTTCATCACCCCCCACAAGTAGTACAGTGTCACCATGGTGACACTGCACTGCTAGAGAGAGACGGTATGCAAAATAAAACCATAAATAATAATATAAAAAATGAAAAAAAAATGAAAAAAAATGTTTAAAAATTATAATTTTTGGTTATAAACTAATTTGGGTTATTTTTTTTTTTTACTAGAAAGAAAACGGAATACATTTTGGCCAAGATTTATAAGGAAATACTATTTATTTGCAAAATTTTATAAGAAAAACACTTTTTTTCAAAATTGTTGGAATTTTTCATTTACATAGCCAAAAAAAAAATCCCAGTGGTGAATAAATACCACCAAAATAAAGCTTTATCTGTCTCAATAAAATGCTAAAAAATTCATATGGGTACAGTGTTGCATGACTGCGCAATTGTCATTCAAAGTGTGATAGCGCTGAAAGCTGAAAATTGGCCTGGACAGGAAGGGGGTAAAAAACGTCCAGACTGGAAGTGGTTAAAGGATACAGCCAATGTGGGTGACAACAAACACAAAAGATGCAAGTATAATACCTCTTTTATTGCAGAAAACTGTCATTAATATTTTATGGATGGCTGACAGTGTCACATTTGTAAAATATTTTTTTTTAAAAATTCCAGGTTTATTATGACTTTAAATCCTTTTCTGGCCCAAACTGTCCAAAACAGGCTATTTCCTTGACTAACAGATTCACCCAATGGAAGTGCTATTTAAACTGTATACAGCATCAAATACATACAGTATACGGTACTATGTTCTGGAAGCGGGTTGGGACTTCCTTTCCCGTTCCCAGGTCAGAAGCGAGTTGTGCTGAGTGCTCCTCAGTCACTGACTTGTAATTTATGAACTATTACAAGACTTCCTCTGACTGGCTGAGATGGAGATCCTGACATCATCTACCTACCTCTCCACTTTATTTATACATAATGAACTTCTTCCAAAAAACCAACAGATTGCCACCTGATCTAAAGTGTCTCAAATCATATATCCTTGATAGTGTTCTTTTAATGAAAATGCTTTAACCTCCCTGGCGGTATGATTATTTCAAATTTTTGGTGTTGAAAGCGTTACCATTATTTTGCATGGAAATTTGGTGTTTAATATTGTAGGCTGTAATTCTTAAGAATAACTCACTGAAATCTGTCCGAACAAGAGTCTAGTAAACATCCCGGGGAGGATAAAACTTGAAACACGAAATCATAAATTATAATTTAATAAATAATCATAAAAAATAATATAATAATAATAATAAATTTAATTCAATAATATATAATCCAACCAAAAACACTGAAATTTAAAATAGAGCGCCAAGTTCGCACATCGCTGAGCAAAGTCGCAGAATCGTTTTCAGTGTCTGATGATGAATTTCCCCCACCAATCATTATCACTCAATTCTGCAAGTGGTTCTGATTTACTATCGCTGTTCTCTAGCCGGTCTAAAACCGCTTTTGACCTAAAGGGACGCTTTTTGGACGCCATGGACGTTTCTCAGTTTCCAGGCAGAAAGAACAGTAAAAATGCAGGCAGGGCGCCGGACAAAGCACTCGGGACAAAATGTATGTGAAATGGTTTTTATACAGGAATGTTATACTATGTGATTTTAGTGGTTTTTGTGAATGTCACTTTTTGTCATTTACAAATTTCCCGCCAGGTCCATCCCCCATACGTCCTGATGTTCTCAGAGGACAGAACTCAGATGACAGATGCCGGCATCCGCCGGATTACATTGCCAGGGCACTGCAGGAGGGACATCGCGGGAGCGCAGGACAAGGTAAGTGACCGAGGGATCGCGGAGCAGCGCCGCATGGTATTCCCGAGTGTAGCTCGGGGTTACCGCTTGTGGTACTGAAACTTTACCCCGAACTACACTCAGGAATACCGCCAGGGAGGCTACAGAAGATTGTGAAACAAACCAGGCAAAACTCCTGGGCCTGATGGTTTCATTCTTTCATATTATAAAATGTTCATGTCCCACATGACACCGCACTTCCTCAAGACCTTTAACTCTTTAACAGCACTTTGGTCTTTTGTCCCCCAACTCATTCAAGGCACACATAATGGTCATCCCTAAAGAAGGGGAAAGACCTCCTCTTGCATTAGCTACTGTCCTACATCCCTATAAAAAGTCAATCTCAAATTGCTGATGAAAGTCCTAGAAAATCACCTCCTGCCAGCCATTTCACATATCATTAGTACTGACTTGGTGGTCTTTATTCCATCTTGCAAAGACAAAGATAATGTTATCAAAGCCCTAAATGTTATTCATTCAGCAACATCCTCTTCTACTCCTTGACGCCTGTTGGCAACAGATGTGGAAAATGGGTTTCATAAAGTTGACAGGCAGCTGAGGACCCAATATCACCTTTAGGCGCACCCTGAAAACCCACCTCTTCAGGGAAGCCTACCCCGCCCTCAGCCAATTACCGAACTCCTCCACTCTTCCTACCACTCCATCCCCCACAGCTATTTCCTCCTGTAACACTCTCCCCTCCTAGATTGTAAGCTCCAAGGAGCAGGGCCCTCGAACCGCATTGTATTGTTACAGTACTGTCTCCTGTACTGTCTCCCATTATAATGTACAGCGCTGAGCAAACTATTGGCTCTATATAAATCCTGTATAATAATAATAATATTATAAAATGGAAACTGTAACGAAGAACAAAAACAAAAGTTCACCAACCTTGCACATTACCTCAGTAAGAAAAGGGTGAATTTATTGAATTGTTTTAAAAGCATATAAAGTCCAACATCAGCGCACTGGAATAGGAGACACGCGTGGAACCCATTGAGAGGGGAGACTCTCAGGATGAAGCTGATGCATTTCGAAGGGGGATCTCTTCTTCCTCAGAGCTACTCAAACTGAGAATAACCTCCTCTATATATAGCACAAAGCCATGTGTGAACTTTTCCATATGGGCGGGACATTCACATCTTGGTGGGTGGGGCAACAGTGTCACAAAACCACAGATTTAAATAAAACTTTCACTTGTGATTCGATCAAATAAATCTTTTTGCAGAGTGATATTTTGGTTTTCGGAGAATTCTGTGAAGAGACTCAACAAGACCAATGCTTTTATGGGAGTCCGTGTTCTCTAGTTGCTGCCAGAACCATCAGGCATGTCACAAGGCTTCTGAGTAGGTCTGCAGGCTCCTGTTGCATGATTCTAAGGTCTACGGTAGTGGTAGAATCAGAGCAGGGGACTGGGACAAAGTTTTTTTTTTTCTGTGCACACCAGACTTCCTGCCTGTAGAGGTGACACATCCACCACTGGGAGCCAATCAGTGCAGCAAGGTTCCACAGTGCAGATCATGCAGGCAGTGCTGATCCTTATAAAATGGATCCATGCAATATATTCAAATCCTTCTACCTCAGTGACAGTTAATGGAGTCATCTCAGGCCCATTTATAATTACTAATGGAACTTGACAGGGTTGTCTCCTATCTCACTTATGTTTTATCCTGTCCCTTGAGCCAATGGGTCTTCTTGGAACAGTCTAACTCTACCTTCCTACTTAAGAGGATACCATGGTGCTTTCAACATACCACATAATACTTGAAATCCCACCCCACAATAGGGCCTACCATCCAGATTGACCTTTCTCCTGTCTCCTCTATAAACAATCATTGGTAATCCTGCTTTTCCAGAAAGCTTTGGAGATGGACCTTTTCACTCTCTCCTTACCAGACAGACTTACCAAGTTTCCCACTATATATCCTCAGGGAATTGGCTAACATTAGACATCCTCACCTGAATTGATTGCTCCTTTCATCTTTTGATATGGCAAGCACTACAAACTAAACCAGGGGCAGACTGACAACTCATGGGGCCCCCGGGCAATAGGGGATCATGGGGCCCCTGAGTCCTTGGCCACACTCAAAGCACACCCAAAAAAAGCCTATAAAAGGTACCAGGGGCATTTCATGGGGCCCTTTACTGACCCCGGGCCCTCGGGCAGTGCCCAAGTGCTTGAATGGTCAGTCCGCCCCTGAACTAAACATCTTCTCCATAGTTTACCTTCTCCTATTTGCTTTGTGGGACATTTTTGATTTTGAGACTTTATGTACCAAATCAGGCTCACTAGGACACACTCTTTCTATAGCATGTAAGGTTATTTACTAAAACTGCATGGTGCAGAATCTGGTGCAGCTCTGCATAGATACAAATCAGATTCCAGTTTTTATTGTCAAAGCTAAATTGAAAAAGCTGAAGTTAGAAGCTGATTGGCTACCATGCTCAGTTGCACCAGATTCTGAGTGCACTATTTTATTTTATTTATTTATTACAGGTACTTATATAGCACTGTCAATTTACACAGCACTTTATTGTACATTCACATCAGTCTCTAACCCTCAAGGATCATAAAATTTAAGGTCCCTAACTCACATTCATACATACACATACTAGGGCCAATTTAGACAGGAGCCAATTCACCTACCAGCATGTCTTTGGAGTACCCAGAGGAAACCAACACAGGCACAGGGAGAACATGCAAACTCCAAGCAGGTGGTGACATGTTTGGGATTCAAACCAATGACCCCAGTACTGCCAGGTGGAAATGCTAACCATTTTTAGTAAATCCCCTTACAGTCTACTTTCATACTCCTAAAAGGAGTGTACTCCACCTTATCTCAACTAAGTTGGGACTGATCTGCACCTGACTATTTCAGCTCCACAACATCAAAAAAATTATTTATTCTCTCTGAAAATAATCCATAAAAAATAGAAACAGAAGAAGCAAATTTTAGGATTCTATCCAGATGGTATATGATTTCTTCTATGCTCCACAGATTATTTCCGGGGTGTCAGACCTTTGATGGCATTGTAAATCTAA